TCTGTTTGCAAATTATGTTTAGAATTGTTATGCTGCTTCTACGGATTTCATAACGGACTACGCGCTCAAATATAAAGCCTCGTTCTGGAGTATATTCTAAAACTAGTAAATAAACAAAAAAGTGCGGGATTTTTTATTTGCACCATACTGTAGGTACAATGTTTTCCTGTTGGTGTTACCAATATACACATAGATATAATTCATTACAAGTCCTCATTAACGACACTGTAATTACTGAGATGGCAATTTCCCTGTAGTCTATACTCATTTGTCTGACTAAGTTATTCTGTCGTCCCGTCACATACCGTATTTGTCTTGAAAAATGCACGTTAATTTAACAAAACAAAATATGTTGAGAAACGACCCATGCAAGAAAGATGTAGATCTAAACTTTAGTTAGATTTTGCTGAGGAGTTTATGAAGTTGGTTATCATTTGATCGGGATTCGAGGTAAAGTACCTCATAACCTTTTTTTTTCTCTCGATCAGTTGGCCCAATAACATTTATTCATTTTTGTTTAAATTTTATTTAAAAATACTTAAAAGAAAAATGTAACCAAACGATCAATTCCTTATTGGATCTACACATGTTTTATTTATTTTAGGAACGGGTACATGACTGTTCAATTTCTAATGTTATTCAATTTTTTTTCCGACATCACACTAAAAGTAAACATGCATATTATATTAGAAAATGCAGTGAAATACCGTATTTATATATACTGAGTCATTTTGATACTTATTTTTTTTTAAATTTTATTTGCTTGAAGATAATCTGATCTTGGAGTCGTCTCATAATAGTTTAACTTAAAGATTATCAATTCTTACAAATTTTCATTAAAAAGGCAAACAACCTTACGCATGCGTCATAAAAATATAGAAAGCCTTATTTTGCAGCATATAATGATGTGTATTTCACAACCACTACCACAACAACAACAACAACAACAACGATTACAACAACATCATAGACAAAATAATATTAAATCCCTGTATCCATTGGTTCATCAATAAGAACAAATACGGTAGCGAAAGATCGGACCAATACATTAAAGTAATCAACTCTACTTTCACAGTCTTAGATCAGTAATTAATCAAATTGAACCAATGAAATTAGCAAAGAAATATAACACCATCTGTGTGCAAAAAACCTAGACTAGATGTAGATTAGAACTTTTAATTTCGACGACATTTGTACGCGTGAACATAGACGAAAAATTAACCAATGAAATATCACGTTCGGCGGAAAGTACTTAAGTTCTAAAAGTTGGATACATGCACGTATAAACGAACGTGTAAACATTTGCATGTACTTTTGCTAAAATGAGTAAAAGTCCTTATAGCCCGTCTCACACAAAACACGGTTGGACACACGATTCCCATACGGTATACTCGGTTATACACGGGTTGACTGGTACGAGTTTTGAGCTCCAACCGTGCTTGTGGTTTAGTTGGCACGAATTAGACTCGAATATAGCACGAGTATGTACGAATTGAGCACGGATATACTCGGTCAAGCAAGGTTTGAACACGATTTGCATACGAATACATACGACTGTTGTACGGTTCCAAGTACGGTCTAGTTCGGTCTGGTACGATAAAACACGACTTTTACTCGATTTACTCGACTTTCACAGGGTTTACATAGGGTCCCGCCGACTTTTGTTCGAGTTAGGCCCGAAATATCACACATTTGTGTATGTTTTGATATAAATTAACCCATTTTGATGACTTGGCTTCATGAATTTTCGAAATTTCAACGACTAACACTAATATATAGATCATTATAATACTGCACGTTTGTAACATCGCTTTTCATTGGATAATCGTGACGTTTATATATTTTTATATACACGGCTGCTGTCGATTTATAAAGAAATCTCGCTTTATTCCTCTAAAAATGATGCTTGCTGTTTCATAAATTCGTTATAAAGATTGTTGACAGGTTATATGGCTTTATATAAACGACTGTTTGCAATATAACCCTCGCCTAGCGGCTCGGGTTATATTTACAAACAGCCGTTTATATAAGGCCATATAACCTGTCAACAATCTTTATAACTAATATTAACATCAATAAATGAATAAAAAGTGAAGCAATGTAAAATGAATGTGTCTTTTCTTGTTGTGTAGCGGTTGCTGGAGGGTCCACCGAGCTGGCATTGGAGTCTGAATCCCTGGGAGACACGGTTATTGCCGGTTGGTCCTCTAGCTTATCAGGGTCAATAAGTTGGAGTGGTCGGTGGGCCTGGATGGCTCTTCTTGTATTCCTTCTATGCGTCCAAAACTTCTTCTTTGGATACATTCTAGTGTGATGCAGCAAGCACTCTTGGTAGGGTGGCAGCAGGTAGTTGTGTTTTTTGTACAGTTCTTGCTGACGTAGAGGCCGTGTTAGACCGTACGAGGCCGTGTGAGACCCTGTTTACCCGTACTTTACCGTGTCGGCCATGTATGTTTCGTATATGAACCGTATTGGTCGTATGGCGATCGTATGAAACCGTGTGTGCACTCGTTTGAATCGTACCGTGATCTTGTGACATTCGGGTGTTAATCGGGTGTTGGATGTAGGACTTGGGGACGGTCTCGAACGATTCCATACGATTTATATACGACCTTGATACGGTTGGGCTCACTCGTGGAGTGAACTTCACATACGGCTGTATATACGGTCTCATACGGTCTCACACGGTCTCTTACGGTCTTGTACGGTCGCTTATACGGTCATACACGGACATGGCATCCTTACCAGTTTTTTTAAAAGTTTTAAAAATCATACACGGCTTACACGGATACACTCGAATGGCCCGAGTGTAACTCGGATAACGCTACGGTTAGTTCGGTTGTATGTACGGTTTACACGGGTTGTCAACCGTGTAAGCCGTGTGTCCTGTGTGAGATGGGCTTAACGTGCACGGCGTTGTTCGAATATGTATATACTGTTTAAAACGAATGCAGATATTGAAAACCCCGTGTAATTACTCGAACGTCTACACATCACAAAAATGTATTAGTAATTAAACGGGAACTCGGATGTGAACACCCGTACCAATTTTCTTTTCTTTGCAATTGTTATTGATGTTTTATCTCTGAACAACGTCCATAAAACGCGACTTGATTTGGTATTATCTTAGTGAAGTCATAGTCAAGTACAAATAAAATTCTACAGCATAAATCACCCTCGTTACCTCTGAGAATTTTGTATATTATTTCTAATTTACATCTCATGCAGCTGGGTTAATATAATATTCTTGCAGCGTTAGAAGTTGCCTGTGTGTTTGAAATTGTAACTTAGAAAATAAAACTTATTATGAACCTCCCTGGCGTTGCATGCAGCGTTTAGAAACGCCCGTTTTACGTATACTCTCTCATTTTAAAACTGTTTGTGAAGGCGCTCATTCAATTATGGTAAATTTATATACTTTTTCGTTGAGAATGGGTTACATTTCCACAAGGCAGTAATAACTAGATTTCACACGCCTTGCTTACGAGACATAATTGGTTCCCGCCGTGTGAGCTACCCACTGCCTTATTAGTTTGCCTCCGTGTAATTTATGTCTTTAATGAATCTTCAAAAGACAGAGCGAAAAAATGTTTCTATTGTAAATTTGTTACTAATGATTTTACAGTAAGAAGAAGCGATGCCGTTACGTTTAAATTAGACTAATTCTGAAATTTACACCTGAAACATACTAAATGTACGCGTTTTGTGGAATTAAAGCAGACGTGAAACACTTATATTGGGCTGGATTCTTAAAACTTAAAAAGTACCGTCTTTTGTCTGAAAAATGTTCTTTGGTGTCGATTGGCAGGAATATGAAACTTAGTGTAATAAGTCCAGAAGCTTAATTCAGCCTGTGAGAATACTGGAGAATACAAAAGTTCTATACTCATTAAGATAATTGCATTATTCTTATGTTTGCACCGCTTTTACTTTAATCTAGAAACCTCCCTAGGGCTATTTTCAATTAGAAGCACACGTTTTTTTTATACTGATTCATATACGATATAAATTGTTTAAATTGCTTTTAATTTCTTAATAACAATATTTGAAAGCGACTATCATTGAAATAACATTGAAGTTTGAATTTCAAAAGCACGTTAATATCATAGAAATGAAATGATTTATAAAGAGGGTTGCTCGTCTGTCACTCAGAATAAAGTTCTTTGAACATTATATTACTAAATACTTTATTGAGCATTAGATGTTTTATGCGAGACAGCTTTCATTAAAATTTAATATTGCAATAATATGAAATAAATCAACACAATAAGGGATAGAAAAATTAATCTAAAAATTTAATATATCTCGTACTTTGGTTATTCATAAATAAAACACGTTCAGGATATCAAATGATATCTCGACTTGGATTTGTAGGTTTTTAATTAAAACCCATTTGTCGCTCATTGCTAGCTAAATATGCATAAATTACCAGTTTGACTTATAGCTTTTGATAAACGTTGATACATTGATCTTGTGTAGTCACTTAAACCATGTAGAGTCGGCGCTTAATTGAAATTTTCAAAAGAACCGGTTTCCAAAGAGATATTTACACATTTTAATCATTTTCTAATATACATTGAATGGAATAAAGTATCATTTCATTTGAAATCAGATGATTAGAGCAGACATTTATTATCAAGCTTTCAATCATAGAAATTAATTAGTTTTAAAAAAGTTTTATCTGTGTAACTAGTCTGGGGTTTTCAATAGTATTAGTTTTTTCTCCCCTTTAAATTTGGTTTCAATGTTTATTAAGTCCACCATTGAAAAATTTAAAAGCAATTAATTGCGGAATCCCCCCCCCCCCCAGATAAATTTGCTGGTTTGATATATTAACACAAGGAACACTGAAAAGGGACTTCTTTGATTTGTTTTAAAGACCTACCCTGAACAATTTTTGAAAATGTCTGTTGTTGTTTCCTATAAAAGATGTAAGTGTGTTATTGCGATATTAATAAATGGTAGGATATAGCGAATTAAAATTGTATTGATTTTTCCAGGTTATTTGGAAACGGTGCAGCGTGTGGATCATGTGGTCAGACTATTGGCGCTAGTGAACTTGTGATGAAGTCAACAAATTCTGTGTATCACGTGAAATGCTTTGCGTGTGTCACGTGTCATAATCAGCTGGTTCCCGGTGATAGATACAGTATTGTGAACGGTTCCCTATTGTGTGAACAAGATTATCCAAAAATGCTCAAAGAGCAGGGACACAGTCAACTTCAGGGTCGAGGGAATCAGAAAATGCAATTTTCAACGGCGATGGTGTGAAAGAAAAACGCTATGAATATTGTTACTTCAGTTATTTAAAGTTCGTTCCATATTGTTATTTTTTAGTATTTTGATCAACATCATTTTTATCATAACTCAGTGTTTTGGAAACGCGTGATAGTACCTTTTACAATATACGATAACTTTATTTATTTGGTTGAAGAAATATTGTTGGGACTGATAGAAACGCCTGCAAGATTTTGTCATATCATCTGAAGTAGAAAATAGTGTAGAGGGCATCTCAGAGGAAAACACGGCAATTCTGCGTGTTAATGTGAATGGTGCAAACATAGGCGTTAAACTTTTAAAATAAATGACAGTATGCTGTCTATTGAGATTAATGTTTTAATGACACTAATTATACAAGAAACACACGTGAAGCAAACAAACAGTATCATACGGATGTACTGTGTGAAATTTGCTGTGACAGCATCATGACAAAAATTGTAAATTAGTTGATGCCATTGCGCGTGACAGAATTAAACAGTTGTAACGCATGACTAGATGACGTAATGCATTGTGTGACGCAGAAATAAAAATTGAAGTAATGCTCTTTACGTAATTTCCGCACGTGCATATGATGTTAATGCGCATGCCAATTTATATGAACGTTGGGGATCAGTGATGGTAGTGTGCAAGTCAAATAAACGCTTGAGTGTGCAATGTTTGACTCTGGAAGTGTCATGTTTTGTTTACAGTTTGTGATTATATTACTTAGTTGTATCGAGTGTGTAAAACACACAATATTATGGGACGCAAATGACAAGAATGTGTCGCGCATGAAAGTTCTACGAAGTAACAGATGGCGTGTTTATTAAACGCATTACTTAAAATGATATACATGTTGCACAGTGAGCGTCTGTGACGTTACAAAATGGTATGTTTCACGTACACAGTGCGTATTTTACAAAGTCATCGGTAATTCCGGCGTTCTTATAGTGCTCATGACATGAAACTTGGTTTGCGCAAAAAAGAAGTGATGTCACCATCGCCGAACGCGTCACAGATGTTCAGCGACTTCCGGTTGTTCGCTTTGTAACCCAAAGTGGCTTTGTTGCTCAGATTTTAATTTTCTCTCTCTATTATTTTCATATTTTATTGTTCATTATACATGTTGGAGAGTGTCGCTGGTACTGGTACGTACTGTCTTTTTTCATTATTTCACATCTGTTCTTCTCGTACAGCGAACATATAAGAGAGTAGCACGAGGTACCAGATTTACGATTGGAAAAGCCTTTTTTTTATTTTTGCCATTAAATATTTAATTAGTTACGTGTCTTGCACGTGCATTTAAGTGCAAGCTGTTGGTAACACATGTGTACTTAAATGTAATTTGTTATATTTTTTTTCTAATTTAAATTTTATTGTATTTATTATACCAAACCGATTTTAAAGAGGCATGCCTTTGATTTAATGTCAAATTTATTCTTTATTTCATTTAAGACGCAAAGATGTGAAAATATTTGTTGATTTAACGACCACTACTGAATTAATGTTAACATTTTGCCTATGTTTCTTTTTGGATATAGCGTAACTGTATTTAGATATATTTTAAAAAAGGATTGACAAACGTAATCTAAGGACCTTCGTGGTCAAGTGGTTATGGCCGCGGATGTCAAATCACTTTCCCTTCACCGCTTTGGATTGGAATCCCGTCAGAGACTTTGGATTCTTTCATGTGACGAAGTTATACAGTTAGCTTAAGGCAAATCGGTGGTTCTACTCAAGTGCTCGCTTGTGCCGTTTGATCATGGTTTTCAATGTTCGCTTTTTAGTAATGCATTTTGTATATAAAGGGCATGCCACTTTAAAACCGTTTTACAGTTTTGTATGAAAGTTGTACAGCGTGAGCACAATCAGCAAGTTTTCTTCAACATTTCTATTTTTAGAATGATTTTAAAGCGGCACACCTCCAGATAATTTTCGATTTTTATAAAAACTTATGAATTGTTGTAATCAGTACAAACGTTGTCAAGCATGTACAAGTTATCTGATCACAGAAATCTTTAGCTATACTTGAAAATATCCAGAATTTTGTCATACTCAGTAAAAGGGTAGAGGTCTGGTGTTATAGAAATAAAATCATCGTTTCACCTCGATTATGTGAAGTGATACATTTCATAAATATTTCTTTTCTAAGTTTGATTCTTATCTGGAGACGCGCCTCTTTAAAAGGAGGACCACCATAAATGTACACTTAATGTTCCCATGATTGTGATACGTTATGTTTTTAAATTTTGATAAAGATAAAGATATGGTATATACTAGTAGATGAAGAAAATTTTGCCACAGGAAATTAAAAAAGTTATATCGTTTATTGGCAAATGTTTTACAGAATACAAGTAAAAAAAGTCATGTTTAACGAAACTGTTTAAATAGCCGCCGCCTTATATGATGCCATTTAAAAAACATGTTAATTTTTGCAATTAGCGTATGAGTGTGATCTAAACAAATGGAACGTGTGCCAGCCTTCCTTGTTGATTTCATTGATTTCAATTAACATACGCCAGCTGACAAAACGATTTCAATTAAACGTGTGCAAGCTGACGTTATTGATTTTAGTTTAACGTGCGTCAGCTGACGTAAGTAATTTCAGTGAAACGTGCGTTATCTGACATAATTGATTTCAATGAAACGTGCGTCAGCTGACGTAAGTAATTTCAATGAAACGTGCGTCAGCTGACGTAAGTAATTCCAATAAAACGTGCGTTAGTTGACATAATTGATTTCAGTGAAACGTGCGTCAGCTGACGTAAGTAATTTCAGTGAAACGTGCGTTAGTTGACATAATTGATTTCAATGAAACGTGCGTCAGCTGACGTAAGTAATTTCAATGAAACCTTGCGTCAGCTGACGTAAGTAATTTCATTGAAACATGCGCCAGCTGACGTACGTTATTTCAATGAAACGTGCGCCAGCTGACGTAATTGTTTTCAATTTAACATGCGTCAGCTGACGTAATTATTTCAATGAAACATGCGATAGCTGACGTAAGTAATTTCGTTGTAACGTGCTTCAGCTGACGTAAGTGATTTCATTGAAACCTACGTCAGCTATCGTACGCGAATTTCTTTGAAACATGTTGATAAATTAGAAATATTGTTTTGATAAATCTAGTATTTAACTGAACTCCTTTCTTTTATTTGTAAAAACCTGTGAAATGCTTGAAGGCATTGGTACTAAACTAAATAGTTAACATTTAATTGAACATGGGTCCAAAATATTTTGATTTTTTTTCACATTAAGATATTTGAAATTTTATTTTACACTTTATCTAACATAGTGCTTTAAGAGTACATGGCTATTATTATTATTATTTTGCTTTGAAACTTTACGTCTTGTTTTTTTACCAATAACGCGTTTATATATATGCTCACCATGTCAGGTAATACTTAGTATAAGATAAGTATCAAAATCAAAGAAGTATAAATAAGTATAAATTACATGAATTGACGTTAATGCTTGAACGTAATCGATTTTTACATACATGTACATATAAGTTATTTTACGACTTTTAAACAAGACACTTTTTAGAAAAGTTTTTTTTCTAATATGTAAAAAATGATTTCATAATTAAGCATTGCCTTATTATCTTCCTATCGACAAAAAATACCCTTTCATTGTTAAATATGCCGAAGAACTCGTATTTTTCAGAGTGTCGGTGTTGCATTTTTGGTGATGAAAATACAAAATACATGTTTATTCAATTCCGTAACATGATACATTTTAAGGTCTTTTTTCTTGTATGGAATATTTTGTATATTTTTTTAACTATAGACACATTTTTACATAAGTTTGTTTTCATGAAGATTTATTTTACTGTTCTGAAGGGATACCTTTCTAAGTGTCTTGACACAACCTTTGCACATTTACTATTTTCCCCATCAGCTTCATAATATTGAAGGTTACCCTGTTTGCCTTTTTTTTAGAAAAAATATTATTTGTAAACGTGTCCTTTTGCAATAGAATAGTTACAAATGAAACATTTTATATAGAAATACATTTACAATATTAGAGAAAAGGCCACTTTCATCAACGTTTCACTTTTTATCAATGACTTTTTGTTTTGTTCTGTTTTTTTTTTTCTGAAGCCGACACGTCACGCTATATTGTTTTTTTTTTGTTTTTCATTTTGTTTAATTAAGTTAATATACTTCTTGTGTTGTGTTTTGTTTGATGTACTTGATTATTGCAGTACTTGATTAAAATTGACTCACAACTTTGTGTGTTTTATATTAATTATCTAATTATAGAATTTCCTGAGTTCGTGGTACAATATTGAATACTTCATTTATATTTAATATTCAAACTGTCACATCAGTTCAATTGGTGAAAATATGGAGCATAGAACGAGTTTTAACATTCAATGTATTAAATTAAACATAGACGAATATGTTTACTCAATATTATATTTCAGCTTTAATTGTTTTGTTTCAGGGTTGAAGCACTTTGGTTTTCAACATACTTCTTTATTAAGGCTGTATATACACAATAATTTGGTGTGTGTGTGTGGGGGGGGGGGGGGTAAATGTGCTCACCCATTGTTGCTTTTATTGCTTCCTTTAACTCTCCATAGATTCTCGTGGGACATTTGGTTTTAAATATTTAAAACATTATAGATGGCATGTTTTGACAATACAGGATTATCATTATCAGTGGAAGTTCAATATTTGCTAGGTTTTATGTGAAACCAATGCGCGATAAGTCATGTGACAGCTTTTTTAAAATATAGTGAAATAAAAGCACCCAATGCGTCCTTTACAAAATCATCTACGAGCGAACATATACAGGAGACAAAGCCAAATAGCCAAACATTCACTCACCGTTAACTTTATAAGAAGTATTTGTACCGATTTTAAAGGTCCTGGAAGTAAAAGTAATCCGTAACCGGAAGTGAAAGTCTTCCGTCACCGGAATTGAAGTCATCCGTCACAAGACCCTGATGTTGTAAGATATACGAAAGAATGGCAAAAAGATAATGAAAATCAACCACGGTCGTGCAATTCGCACCTATACTAACCTGAATTTCACAAGGTATATTTCAATTCTCCGCACAAATCAGCAATACATAAATACATTCGATACCTGGCTCTGAATTCATGCTGAAAACACAACTGGACAGCGCCCAGTGTTCGTTCTTGGACAATTGATTAATTCTAATTTCTTGGTGGACTAGCTTTCGCATAAATAAGTTTGTACTTATACATATAACTTGTGTTGTGCTCACATTCAGTAGACAATTTCACTTTGCCATCATTTACAGTAAAGAAGTATCACAAACAATGTACAATATAATTATATGATATATTTGTTGTTTTTTTTCGTTACCCATTAACCTTATCATTACAATTATGTAGCAAAATATATTTTGCGCATAGTTGCCCGGGACGTAGAAAATATTGTTATTTTTCCATACCACAAAGAATGTTGTTAATTTGCAGACAAGCTTCATTTGTAACGTCTTAATTTAAGCTTCTGTCAAAACTGTTGGGTTGCTCATTATTGGGCTAATTAAATCGTCTGCTGACGATATTTGCAGATGGCGCTGTAATGATACAAACACAAATTGTACGGGTCACTTGGAGAAAGTTCCATTATCGTCTTATTTTAGAGGCAATTATCCTATTACATTAGAGTCGTGGCATCGAATTTATTTTAGAGATGAAAATAGTGTAATTAGAAATAATCAAGCTAAATCTAAATTTAGAATATAATAGACGACTGTTTTGTAAATTCATATAAAATATTGTCCTCGGTTGCTTGTTTATGTCGGTAAGTTTTATGGGGCAATCTAGCACATAAATGAAATACAATAATTAAGTTTTTCACAAGCATGTACACACAGACGAACAGAATGTCGTCTGGTGTTTTTCTGTATAATACTTATATTTCCGGTTTACAGTCCCACTAGGTGTATTATGGGGGAAATACTTACTTGAAAATATCATTATCAGACTAAAAGATCATTTAATACACCTTGACGAACGAATCCATTCTTTCTATCAAAACACACATTTTCCTTAATAGCTATTTTCTTTCTATCCGATGAAAAAACACCGGTATATGTAAGGAAAAAACAACCAGTGTTTCCCTGTATAAAATCCGCCCTTAATTATCGATATACGCATTTTAATAATGTATAAGTCGAGGAAACATTTCATTATAGCAAATAGAGGTTGGGGTAATTTTCTTCCCATCAAACTGGCAATAATGCACAATCATAAAAGCCGCCTCTCTAATTAAAACATGTAGTTATATGAAACCCATAAAGAAGGGGGTGAATTACACTTTAAGAAATAAACAAGTATAGCACCCAACTATCTTTAATTAGCGCTCGAGAGGCCTGTGATATCCATTAAGTCTACCATCAAAGCGCTGCTATTTTGACGGTTTTACAGTTCTAAAAGTAACAAATGAATTACGATGATTTTCCCAGGGAATTGATCCAGCGCTAAGATTGCCGTCTGAAGATAAGATCTGATAATTATCATAAAAGGATTTTATAAATCAAAAGATATATTTTTTTGTAAATGATAATAGAATTTCCTTTATGCACTAGCTATAGTTTCGCGTGTGTTTCAAGGTGAATTAATAACAGTGGTGGGGGGTACAGACGAGAAACTGAGATTTTTAAACGGCGGGAAATCTAGCTCGAGACTCGCAGACGAACTTTTTAAAGAACGCTACAGGAAGTCTGCTGAACGTTAGACCTTGGCTTCTTCAAGATTTAAACAACAGATCTCTCTTTGCAAATTCATTGTGTAGATGTTACTGATTTACATAAATCTACATGTATTTTTTTTTGTGTATATATCTATTTTCAGAACGATATATCATGTTCAAGTCTAGAATAAAATGTTTCTAACATTCTGTTTCATTATATAATGGAAAATTTCTATTGATGAAATGTTATTTGTGACTCGTTGATTTAGATTTTAGATCAGCCCTTTTATTTCTTTCCTTGGATAAGCAGTTTTGAAAAAAAAACTTTGTTGTCTTGCTATTAGACGGAGCTTGGTATAGTTTTAGTATATAAGTACATGGATATCAAAAAAGGAAGAAACATTTAGGACTGTCTATTCATTTATAAATCCATACGTGTATAGTCACTGCTGACATGGAATTACATGTACCAAAGAAAATAAAATCCTGAACGTTCTTGTTCTATATTTAAGCGCAAAGATTCAAATTTCAACATGTTCATAACTTAATAAGATATGCTCTATTCAGTTTCTTTCATAAATATTTATTAAAATAAAATTATCTGTAGCTAGTATCACACTTCCTTGTTTTAGCGTCTTTTTAAAAAGAATACACAGAATTTATGACTCTTAAAAATACAAAAGAAAGAAACGAACAAATAAATTCTCCAACACATGTTGAATCGTCTTTTACAAAGGGAAGTAAATATTGATCTTTTCATTATAATCTACACGAGTTACTTCCCTCGGAAAAGCGTCGAGGAGCTCTGGAGTTGTTTTTTTTATATTCAGGGAACCAGAAACAGGCCCAACTAAATACAGGGAAGCAGTATATTTTAAGGATGTCTTTAAATAAGAAATATGACAAAAGACTGATAACGAATATTTATTAAAAGAAACAAAACATGTGCACAATGTAAGAAATGTGTAAATATGTAAAGCGACAACCAATGTTCACTTTGCGACAACCAAAGTTCACTCTGCGGTTAAATTGCTTTCACAACCATTTATTATTTAAATATATCAGTTCTATTATAAACAGGACGCTAAATAATGCCGCATTATCAAAAGTGTCATAACTATAAAATATCATTGCCATTAAAGAAATTCTGCACTTAGTATTGTTGCTATTATAGCAAAACAATACCTTATATAATAAACAAGATTGTCATTCTTTTTAAAATGAATGATGAAATAAAGATATTTGCCTCTTCCCCGATATCGTTGCAGCCTGCATAAAGTTTGTATACATGCACATCATTTACATTTATACATGAAGTGATGTCTTGATTATAAAAAGTTAAAAGAAAAGTGTAGAATATAACAGCCATAAGCTAAATTAAATAGCCATCTGTTGTGCTTATTGACTTGTAAGCTTTTATCTATGCATACAATACATGTGAAACTGAGAAATAAAAAATTCAGTGTCGCTTTTTAAAGTATTGAAGAAGAGAAGTAACTCCTGGATGGATAAAGTTGAATCATATAAGAGTAACGTCCCTTGATGCTATAGTATAGCACATGGCCCATGTCCGTGAAGTCCGTGATGATACTCAGGAAGTGGTGGCAAATCGGCAGGGTCCGGTTCAGTAAACGTTGCACTAAAATATACTCTGAAAATAATAAAATGAAATAAACGTATATTCATTATTCATTTCTACTGAAACCGGAAACGTTGGATAAAAAAAGAAGTGACATCATCAATACTAAAAGTAGCGACATCATCTCAGCTGGAACCGGAAACGTTGAATACTAAAAGAAACAGCAGCATTCATTTAATTCTAAAAAAAACCGGAAACGTTTAATATTCAAAGAAGTGACATTATCTCAGCTTGAACAAGAAACGATGAAGTAGGATTGAACAAGAAACGATGAATATTTATATAAAGCTATCATTAAGATGAAACATTTAAAACAAGTCATGTTTGATTCAGTCAAAGGAATTCGCTCACCATGTGAAAGAAAGAATTATTAGATCAGCAGAATGTCAAACACAGTATCGGAATGTAATGTCCCTGTGGTTAATGGAACTGGCTCTCAGGTTGATCATAGGTTTGAACCCTATTTGAATAACGACCAAATACTGTCAACGGTCTCGAATGTAATGATTATGGTTCATGTAGTTTCAAAATCAAATTTTCAAAATAGAGTATAACAAATCTGTAATGTTAATAAGATAATTACCTAATACCGGTAAGCCAGTGTTTTCCGCCGTGCTCATCTGCATGTATCGTGTATTCAGACAGAGTATAGTCTGTACTCTCCACGTTGTGCTCGTGAAACAGGATATATACAGTTTCTACCGTTAAAACTGGTGCACCTGAAATGTAAATGTTTTTTTTCTCTCTCTGAAATGTAAATGTGTTTGACATAATTTCATTGAACATATGAGACGTCAAACAAATTCTTCTAAAATAATAATGTCCTAAACTGAAGCAAATAAATTAAAATGTAATGAGTTCATATCAAAAGTTGGACTTTTAAAATACTACACAGGAAAGAAAAAACTAAACTAAACTAATAAAAGTGACACATTTTAGATACTAACCATTAAATTATTAACCAGACTGTTGTTATGAACATTAACAGTTAACACTAATAATTCAACTGATTATATTATTTAAGTTTTTGGTGTTTCTAACTGAAATGTTGTTAAGATGAATCGAATTTGATGGGTTTGTGTGTGTGTTGTTTTTTTTGTTTGTTATTTTTTTGTTTGGCGATATAAAAAGTTTGTTTTTAAACATTTCATATTTAAAAAAAGAACCAAACGAATTTAAGAAGTTCTGATTCTGACTTGAAATGTTTGGGAAACGGCCTTCGATAGATTAATATTGATTGATTGATTGCGTTTACGTCGCACCGACACAGTATAGGTCACATGTAGTTCCAGATTTACTTGTGGATGAAGACCTCAGGTGACCTTCCATATTCTATTTCAGACACGAACGGGCACCTGATTTGAACCACCGTAAGCTAACTGGATAGCTTCCTTACATGAAAGAAGTCCAAAGTCCCGGTCGGGATTCGAACCCACAGCAGTGAGGGGCAAGTGGTTTGAAGTGACTGACCTTAACGGACGCACCCCACCATAGAATAGGAAAAAAGTAAAGTATTTCTACCAGTAAGGCGTAGCCACGCCTCCACTCGTTCCATAGTTTGAGTCATGGTCTCGAATGTTTTGTGGCCAGTTCGTGCTGGTAGAAATAGGCGGGCTGTGGCGGTGTCGGCACTGTTGATTGTGAGCGGCGTGGTAACGTGAAAAATACGCATAGTGCGGGCCATCCTTCTCTCCGAATGTGTGTCGATAAAGTGGTCAGTGGAATCCGACGATATGTTAAGAGACGTCCCTATGATAAAAAGAATGATAAAATTTCGTTTTCATGAGCATTTTATTGAACTCATCATAATATGAGCCGCGTCATGACAAAACCAACATAATGGCTTTGCGACCAGCATGGATCCAGACCAGCCTGCGCATCCGCGCAGTCTGATCAGGATCCATGCTGTTCGCTTACAAACTCTATTACAAGTAGAAAAACTGATAGCGAACAACACGGATCCTGATCAGACTGCGCGGATGCCCAGACTGGTCTGGATCCATGCTGGTCGCAAACGCATTACGTTGGTTTTGTCGTGACAGTGTACGTTAATGAGTCTCTTACATACTGCCAAATGATAGGTCCCTTCATAAATTGAATTGTATACAAAGGTGCTGAAAGTAAAAATGAGGGTATTCCTAATAACTTATCTGGCGCTACAAAATATCTCACAAAACGAGATTTACAACAACAAAAAACTCACCGACATGTGATTGGTGGACCCTTGCATCAAACTGCTGAATATTTACAATACGTACTCCCTGTAAATATATTGTACAACTACATTTATATTTTTGTTGTTTGATTCCATCACTTAGAATATGAGATGTAAATATTTATACTGAATAGAAGCGGTGCATGACGGCAGCGAGTACGAATTTTAAAATAAAGTATGTGTAGGTTTTTTGAGACTATTCCAATATGAATAATCCGTCTAGATTTAGCTATTTGAACAAAATGGATCATCGTGAAAGTAGCTAATGAAAAAGGAAATAATACTATTTTTGTTTCATAATAACCAATACAAACTAACACAAAGATACCAATTACAATTGTTTGTTTGTTTGTTCCATTTTACGCCTTTTCCCAACAGTATTTCAGTCATATAGGCGGGTAGTTGCCTAACCATCGTTCCTGGAGAGTTACACCAGTACTAGACTACCTTCCTCCCGGGAATCGAACCCACGCCAGAGAGGTAACTTGATTAGAAGTCATCGACTCTAACCCCTTGACCACGGAGACCAATTACAAGATAATAACAAGAACAATTATTGTTTTATATATCTTGCGAATATTCAGCAAACAAACCAAATTTCAGTTTCATTTATAACTTATAACAAATGATGCCAATGCAAAAGTAACTCAAGGGAAGTAAACGTAGTAATACCGAAAGCATTTCATCTGTAAGAGTTTTGTCCCTTCATGTAGGCTTTTTTAGAGACGTACCTGATTTTGCGATACCCATGTCCCTATTCTAGTTATCATGCTGTCAAATGTGTCGAATGTACCTGGTTTAGAGGTATCAGGTGGTTCAGTGATGAAAGGTTCAAGGTCATTATAACCTAACAATAATATAAAAAAACACGTGCATTCAAAATACTGAAAATTAGACAGATTAAAAAAAATGAATACTAGGAGACATTGTCATTTGTCTTTTTTTTCTATTTATCTGTGATAAGGATATCTTAAAATTTATATTTTAAGTTGATGGTATGGTTGTGTTGGTAGTTTACTTTCATGATCACGGCAAATAGCCACTTTAAATTCACCAGAGCACAGTTCAGCCACTGTATCGTTCCTTTGCATGCTGTCGATGCATATTTGTATATATATAACATTTTTATTAAATCTCTTCCTGCCAGTGACATCTGAATCTTACCATGTGACCAATGCAGACCAAGATCATCCAGCACATCACTTAATTAGTGTTAAAGGATTATTTTCGTTAATTTCTTTCTATCAATTCCTATCTATTTCTTCGGGGCGTCCATGGGCTAAGGCTGAGTGGTTAAGGTCGTGGACTTCAAACCACTTGCCCCTCACTGCTATGGGTTCGAATCCCGACAGGGACTTTGGATTCTTTCATGTGAGGAAGCTATCCAACTAGCTTACGGAACGTCAGTGGTTCTACTCAGGTGCCCGTTCGTGCCTGAAATAATTCACGGAAAGGCATCTGAAATTTTCCTCCATATGACCTTTACTGTGTCGTTGTGATGTAAAACCCAATCAAACAAACGAACAAACAAACCTATTTCTTCCAGGGCCGGTTCTCCTTTGATATAGTACACACGTAGCACGAGCGTGTCTCGCCGCCATTTATCTTTCTCCTCTAGCCAGCACGTGGTGTTCGGGTTCAAGTCTTTCTTTGTCTTCTGGCAAACCTTCATGCTATCAGTCTCTATAGTGAGGATCGAACCTGTGATAGTAATGGTCATATAACTTTTTTGAGTTCTTAGAACTTTCAAAATAACGTCTGTAAATTTCATTTTGAATTGATACAATTCGATAAAAACTTGAATTGATATGACCTTATTTCTATAATTCGATTATAAATTTGATTTAAATACTCGCACGTGTTCTTATTTGAACATTTGGTTATACTGTTATAAGTGTCTTTTAAGTAGTGCTTTTTGATTTGTTCCTGTTACGCTTCCGTCGAGCATTAAAGCTTAGTTAAATTATGAAAGTAAAACCAAGTTTGAAACATCATTTTTTATCCAACAAACATATTTGTTAAAAAATATGTTCCTCTTTGTATATACATGTAATAAAACAAAATGGCGTTTTGTAGTTAACTTTGAATTACCTATAACACAAAATTACAAGTTTATTAATTTGCTTTTTTTCTGTCAAGGCAAACTTGAGAAGAAACGCTACGCTTATAGCATACTTTGCCATTTAAATTTTTTTTTTTAATCAGATACAACACATTTACATAAAACATGTAAAGCATTCCCACAGAAGTCCTTGTAAATAGAGGATATTCAAGTTTTTCTATAAATACATGATTTATTTTCATCGAGTGTTATGAACATAAATAGTTTATGAGTGGCGAGAGCCACGAGTGAAATATGATAATTTTCATAACACAAGATGAAGATAAATTCTGTATTTATAGAAAAGGCTTGGATTTTCTGTTTGTTATATATATTTTTCTCTTTTTTAGACATTATCATTTGAAAGACTTCCTAATTTTAGTGTATTGACTGAATTAACAAGAAAGTAGTCTGGCAAGACACCAGTGAAAATACGGAAAATATTTTTCACTGCAGTGAACAATTTTTTTTTCAGTGAAAATATGGAAAATAAAAATACGCATTTTATTTCATCAATATTTCTCAATATTTTATTTATAAATCGATAATTAATATCATCATTTGAAATAATAATAATAATAATAATAATAATAATAATAATAATAATAATAATAATAATAATGATGAAGATGATGATGATGATGATGATGATGATGATGAAGATAATAATAATAATAATAATAATAAAAAATAATAAAATAATAATAATAATAATAATAATAATAATAACAAAGAAAAAAAGAAAGAAAGAAAAATCAAAAGATCTTCAACTTTTGAACGAATATAAAAGCATTCATTCTTATATTATTTTGAACTAATTTCTTCATAATGTACATCAGAGCCTTAAAGAATAATTCCTTTATTTTCTAAAAGCGGATTGATTGAAAGATAATACTGTTAAAAGAATGAAGCATTCGATCGTAAGGATTTGTATCTTTATAAAAACCTGATCCTGTATTTTTTCTGATTAGAAACATGTTTGGGATCAATATCTTTTTATTTCATAACGGAAATGAGAAAGATTGGATAGCTCTTAGAATTAATGTAGAATTAATTATTGTAGAATTATATTGAAGTGTGCTCGAGAAAGAATTAGGACAAACTAGACATCTTACTGAGTGTATGAATATTTACTAAGATACAAACATTACCTTTGGGAAAAAGTCCCATTATTTAAATTATTCGTGATTAGAACATATGAACAAAAAAGTCAAAAAGAAATGAGAAACAAAAACAAAACAAAACAAAACAACAACAACAACAACAATAAACAACAAACAAACTAAAAGACGTATTCGACACACAGTTTAAGGTGGTAGTTATTCTAAGATGTACCCCGAATACAAGCTATTTTACTTTTAAGATGATAGAGGTTTTTGGAAACTTTAAAAAAACTTGTTTTGATATGATTATATAAGTTTAATCAAAGTGTATAAGGTTAATATCACTTGTATAAAGGACACAAAATAAATTAAGGATCAGATGATCTTTTAGTAGTTAACATTGGACCGTGATAAATTACAATCTGACTCAAGTTTGGGCGTCGCCAGTTTTGTTCACCTGTAATATTTAAACAAAATCGTGAAAAATAGGTACATGTTTCTGGTTTCCAAACAGTTATAAATAAGAAACTGATCCACTTTCATAAATGCGAAAACGGCCACTGATTGGATGGTTGAAACGTCACAAGAAGGTGACATGTTATCGGTCACCGTCAAATCCTTAAGCATTGCAATATTTAAGAGCTGCTATCATACGAAGTCAGATTGTGTTAAATAATTAATTACCTGGTATAGGGTCATCAACTAGATGAGCTTTGAGGCGGTTTATGGTATCTTCTAGTCCTTCGTATGTATGGAATGGATGAAGGCCTCCTAGCATTCTTACCTCATGGCTTATCACCAAACGCCCACTTCTACAATGTAAGAACAACAAATGGAAATCATTACTAAAGTATATACAAATAGATTAAAATGCATCAATTTTCTTAATCGCCTGTAAAACAGTTAATAAAAGAACAACAAGTGAAATTCATCTCTGAAGAATATAGGTTAAAATGCATTAAGATATTTTTATCGCCTGAAGAATTGAATGTAAATTGCATGTTTGAAAAACACATAGACGCTTTTTTAAAGCTATAGACTGTCGCTTTGTTCCCTCTTTATTAAACTTTTGTAATCGTTTATTATTTCTTTAAGCGTTTTACTATAATTCAAAACATCCGCAATATTGGCATATAGACAGGACTGATTTTAAGAAAATATGAATGCTAGAGGCATTTTATAATACAAGTGGAACCTTGAGAGTTTTAACCTAAAATGGGTATTCTGAAGACGATGATGGTGGATAACAAGAAAATAAAATTGACATTGACCTTCAAAAGGTCAATTCAAAATGGCCGCTTGAAAATACTAAAGTAGGTCATTAAAACTATGATACAATATGAGGCAATTAATTATTCTTGTCAAAATCAAATGATTATTCAATATAATCAGATTTTAATGAGATTGGCCACCAAATATAACGATAATAAGCCTAATGGCTCAATAAACAGTTATATACAGTACTGTTTTACTAGTGCGTTAAGGTATAAGACTAAGATTAAAAAAAACAACACTTTTTATGTTTTTTGTTTACTTGACTTATATTTAACAATAAACTTAGTTTTAAATCCTTCTTTATAAATATTACCAAAGAATAAATATTTCGTAATAACAAATAAATATTTCGTAATTACGATATAATATTTTGTAATAACGAATTAATATCGTTAAAGTGTTACAATTTAGATACGCAGGTCAAGTTTCAATACTCTGTATTGCATTTTGACAAAGTTATGCTCCTTTTTAAGAATTTAAATTTACATTCCATCAAATATCAGACAATATGTCGTGTCCGATCTATAAATCCTATACTAATGGAAGAATTTTCTTCAAACTTTACTCAAATGTTCACCTCAACAAGGTTATGTGCAGAACCCTTGTTACCTTTGTGCCGGCTTAAGGTCAAGGTCACACTTTAAGGTCAAAAATTGACTTAGAAAATGTTCTAAAATTTTAACATGTACTTGAATATTTCTGAAACTAGCACAGGTATTTGCTTGAAACTTAAAAGATATATAAGGTGTCACAAATAAGATATGCTGGTCAAGTTTCATATCTCTGTATTGCATTTTGACAAAGTTATGCCCCTTTTTAAGTCTTTAAATTTAGATACAATCAATACTAGACAATATGTCGTGTCTGCTCTATAAATTCTTTACTAATGGAAGGATTTTCTTCAAACTTGACTCAAATGTTCATCCCAACTGGGCAATGTGCAGAACCCATCTCACCCTTGTGCCAGCTTAAGATCAAGACCACATTTGAAGATCAAAAACTGACTTATAAAATGTTCTGAAATTTTAACATGTACTTGAATATTTCTAAAACTAGAACAGATAATCATTTGAATCTTCAAAGTGTCGCAAGTAAGATATGCAGGTCAAGTTTCATTGGGGGATAACTTTGTATTGTATTTTGACAAAGTTAAGTCCATTTTTATTAAGTCTTTAAATTTATTTACTATAATATTTCTTAAACCAGAACAGATATTTACTTGAAACTTAAAATTTATATGAATGGTTACAAGCAAGCTCAGATGACGAAAATTATACAATTCCATTGAATTATGACACAAGTTATGCTCCTTTTAGGCTTAGAAAATGTTCTGATATGACCATTAATACTTATATGTTTCTGAAACTAGAACAGATATTCATTTGAAACTATATCATATATGTAGGGTCACAAGTAAGCTCAGTATGCAAAGTTTTTCCACTCGTAATTACATTTTGACATAATTATGCTATTTTTTTAACTTCACTGCTTTTGTTTGTTTTTGTACATTGGGAAAATGAAAGGTAATTTGTAACTGTTTCGAACATGATTTGACAATATATATTTATACTATTACCTGTACCATTTGTCTTTTTTCACCAGAGATAATTTCTTTTTATGTATATGTATTTGTGGCACTAAAGTTATTCCCTTAACCACCTTTCCAAGTGGTCTTCTGTCAAGGACAATGGTGGGAGTATGAATCGCATTCAGCGATAGTTCTAGTTTCATCTCGTGAACTTTAAAAACAGTATTCTCACTCGTGGCTACGCCACTCTTGGGAATACTGTTTTTAAAGCCTACTCGATGAAATAACATTACATTTTACACACAAACAAACAAATATCCTCTATATACTCCATATTAATTCTCGTAAACTTTACTAACGAAATCGAAGTGGAATCTAATATTTCAATGAGTGCTGTAATGTATTCAAAATTGACAGGTCAATAAAATAAGACTATACAAAATAAGCAATTAGGCTGCGTATACAAACAAATAAAATATTGTTGTTCTCCTATGCAAAAGCGCAATTAAGTATGCACAAAATCACCACAAAATCTTTTAAAAGGCGACATGTGACACATTATAAAATTTATCTATAAAATAACAGATACCACCTTTGTTAAGCCTTTTCTCCAGAAACTAACTAAAGACATAATAATTACATTATTGCACGTATTTGAAAAAAAATGAATTAAGGCATTACAAAATTTTAAGAATATAAGCTTGTAATATGTTTATCCTACTTAAAACATAATAAGGACCAAAAACTCCCTTTGTAACCCAAATATCTACGACATTATCGCTCTATCTCAATCTATAAAAGTTGTTTTCTGTCTATTTTCTGTACCTCAGTATTATATATAAAAATGTGTTAATTGAGTGTTGAGCAAACAAGGTAAAAAATATACAACTTACAAATTTACAAATCCTACTTTTTAATGGTTACAACAACATTTCTTTCCAATTCTTTTATAAAATGTGTGACTTGCTGAAATGTTGAAATTAATAAAGAGCCGTTTTTCAGCACATTGTGAACATTACACATGTATGCTGCCTGTAAGTTTTTTGTGTGGTGTTTTGTTTGTATTTGTTGTTTTCTGCCGAAAATAATATCTGCATAATTCATTTAAAAAAAAAAATTCAATTATAACTGCATTAAGGTAAACGATGGATAATCGATAATATTAAAAAGTCATCTTAAACTTAGAAGTGTATACTTTATCACAGTCTTAACAAAAATACAGAAAACAATAAATGTTTGCAATCTTGTTTAAAAATAAGAGACGATTTAATTTGAGTTAAAAACAACAATAACAATACCATATTTTCATCGAGTCATAAAATGTCTGAGACCGGGAAATTGCTACGTGTGCTTGCTATACCATGGTTGCAGCTCTCGAAAGTTTTGGAATTCAGTCACGGTTTTGAGAAAATTCTACCAGAAGATTATCACATCATTCAATAAACATGAGAATTCCGGGAACTCTCCAATAAATTTCCAGGATATCTTAAAGTAACAGCAAAGTTATCTATAAAAATATTACTTGTAATAAATGATATATATAAAAGTCACGTGGGTTGGCTATATAGTAAAGTTGTTAAAATATAATTGTAATACACCCTTTGTTAGCCATTGAAATAGTATTTAATGTATAAAGGACTTTCCAAAATGGTTATTATTCAGAGCGGGCGCTATGGTGCAGTGGTAACACTGTCTGCCTACAAATCAAGGGGTCGTGAGTTCGATCCCCCGCTACTCCACTAAACGAATAAATGACTACAAGACTGACAAAAACCAGGACATCGACACAGAATGACGGCAACGATAGATACAAGAGAAGACCTTAATGGAACAAGAAACAAGTACCGAAAGTACAAGACCGAAGCAGAAGGAAGAACGGCGACAAGAACTGACAGATAACAGAAGAACTGACAACAAGCGAACGGAAACGTAGTCCAATAACAGAACAACAGAGACGAGGACCGATAACAGAAGAACTGACAACAAGCGAACGAGACGAGGACCGGTAACAGAAGAACAGAGACTGCGACCGATAACAGACGAACTGACAACAAGAGAACGAGGACCGATAATAGAAGAACAGAGACTGCGACCGATAACAGAAGAACTGACAACAAGCGAACGCAAACGAGGACCGATAACAGAAGAACAGAGACAGGTGCCGACAACAAAAGAACTGACGGCAAGCGAACGAGACGAGGACCGGTAACAGAAGAACAGAGACAGGTGCCGACAACAAAAAAAGAACTGACGGCAAGCGAACGAGACGAGGACCGGTAACAGAAGAACAGAGACAGGTGCCGACAACAAAAGAACTGACAACAAGCGAACGGAAACGAGGACCGGTAACAGAAGAACTGACAACAAGCGAACGGAGCGAGGACCGATAACAGAAGAACAGAGACAGGTGTCGACAACAAAAGAACTGACAACAAGCGAACAGAGACGAGGACCGATAACAGAAGAACTGACAACAAGCGAACGGAGCGAGGACCGATAACAGAAGAACAGAGACAGGTGCCGACAACAGAAGAACTGACAACACGGTAACCAGAACTGATTACAGAAGAAATAGAGTCGATAACCAATGAAAGAAGAACGGAGAACAAAGAAGACGAGAACCAATAACAGAAGAACGAAGACGAAAACCGATAACAGAACATCTGACAAAAAAAGAACTGAGACCAGAACCGATTGCAGAAGAACGAAGATCACGACCAATAACAGAAGAACGAAAACCAAAACCCAAGAGTACTCAGGAGAAAGGTGCCTAAATAATGCATATTTTGCATGCACACGTTTTAACCCCCTCATACGCACGCTGTGCAAAACAGGTAGACATCTGAGTAGAGTGCAAGATAAAATACATGAAAGCTCAATATCTAGCAGACAGGGCAGGGAAGAGTGTAGTGTTCGCTACGTAAACCCTAAAAACCCTAAATATAGGTCTCTTATGATTAAATGCCTTAAAATTTTAGTACTTTCTTTAATAATACTTCTTTTGTGTTTTTAATTCTGTTTTGGTGTCTAATTTGTTTTTACGTAAACATGTTTTGTGACAAATTTCAGGCTTTTCCTTTCCTTAAAAGTTTTATTTGATATTTCATCCATTTATGATACAGAAATTTGGCGGTCATTTTAGTGGCCATTTTAAATGGCCATTTCAATGGTCAAGATCAAGTTTTTCAATTTGGTATCCACCTTTATCAGATTCAGCATACCTTAAATAGGTAAAATACACCAAGAGACCACTTGCACACTACAAAATGCCTCTAGCATCATATAAGGAGCCAAATTCTCAAAATCAGTCCTGTCTAATAGTCTTTCTCTATAATATTTCCATTCATTTACAACGTAAAATGGCTATTTTTATATTCAATTTTTGACCAAGTCTTGACTGGGATAGCGAATCTCTTCAATCAACTTTCTTGAACTCAAATGAAAACTTAATTTTGTGGGTTTGGTTTGTTTTTATGATATCAATTATCTTATTCAGCTAGTCTAACCTGTATAATTGAAAACTGATTGTTTAATTCAATTATAATGGCAATATGAGACATTAATGGGACATAATTGTTGTGCTATCGTATTTCTTGTTATACTGATAACGTTAAATGCACATTTAATCATTGTCTGTGCTGTATTTGCAGTAGCAATAAAAAACATATTCCGATAAGGGGTTGAATATAGATAGACAAGCTTGGCATCAATAAAAATATTTATATTGAAGCTTTTACGTTTATGGTGCGCTGATTGTTCTATAAACCTCAAAAACATGAAATTGTTGTTTACATCAAGGACTTATTAATCCTATATTTTATATATTTTGATATTTGTCTTAACAGGAATAGGTGTCGGTATTCTTCAAAAGTAGTGACCCCGGTTCATTTTGGCCATCATTAAGCTATTCTGATTTGTTTGTTTGTTTCAGACAACTATTATTTGCAGAAAATAACGAAAATATTAGACTGGTTTATAAATGGGCACTGGCAACTAACTATTTTGCTGACTGCCAATGAACTGAAACTGAAGCTGAAATTTCGGGATTTATTTGTATTAGAAAACATTAAACCAAATTCAAACTCTATGTTGTTATTTTATCCAGGTATGGGATCATTGATTCCAATGCTTTAAATGTTTAGGATCGAATACTGCTGAAGTCGGTGCTAGGGGACTTGAGACACGTTGCGATTCAAATTATCTCTCAGGAGCAGACTGAGTAAAACCAGGCGTGCGGTTTTCAATTAATTGTTGTTTTTTTTCAATGCTCTTGGGGGACCTTTCCCGCCCAATATTTTCATACACGCTTCATGTTTTAACAGGGACAAGGAAGGCAATGAATTGGCATTGGCTTGTTCCCATTACCCACTACAGTACTCAAGAAATTATTAGATCGTGTTAGATTTGTTAGTTTGGTTGGCTGGCTTTACGGCGCTCCAGCACAGCCTATTTCTTTGGCGCCGAAAAAGGAAATATGATTTTGGTTAACCTCGGCAGTTACAAACTTCAAAGCAACCTGTGCATTTACATGCACTTTACTAGTAGTTACTTTGAAGTTATACATATTAAGTTTACCTGTAATGGCCATGGGTTGGAAGTTCGATCGTAAGTTTTTCAGGCACTATGTTTCTTATACCAATCTGCTGAGTCTCTGACGACGGTTTCGGATTCTTTTTCATCCAAAGTCTGAAAATATTTGAGACAAACTATGGTCATGACTTCCCTATGGGATATCATATGAACAATGGACTCTTTGATTACCATATTAGCGTGTAGAAAACAAATGACACAGTGTCGTGTTAGTTATTTCTTTCTGCCACTTGTTGTTAGATGAGGAATATCAAAATTACTTACATATGACAGTTATATCAGCTATAGGTATATAAAAACAATGAATTACCATATAAATACATTCAGAACGCTGATTTTGCAAACTCTTCTAATACAGCTTTTTAAAAAACATGGCGATCCATTTATTTCATGCTCACATATATCATGTTATATTGTTTTGTAATATTACATTGCATTTGTATCCGATCAAACGATAATCGTTTTTATTCGTATACTATTTGGAAAAATAGATACATAAATTCGATTCGTAATTAGAAACTGCAGATGTTTGTTTTTTCATTAATTATTTTGTACAATGACAAACTACAATGACAGATGCAGTTTTCATTATAAATAAATCATTTTGATTTACAACCAAGCGCACGAGGGAAATCAAGGAAAACAGAAAATAGCATCTCATACATATGAAGATAATGAAGATATAATTCATATAAACCTACCTTAGTCCTTTAACATATATACTAAAACCATTGGACGATTCATTTCTCAGCATTTCGTTCATTTCATAAACAATTGTCCCATCTTTAGCTTCATGTAATCGTTTATCAACTGTTTCACATTTAAATACGGTAAGACCCGGATGATCCTGTAACCAGCGATTGGCGCCATCTAGTATAGTGCTAAAAATAGAAAGAAAAGTTACATACATTAATATAAATAGTCAGCAATTGGCGCTATCTAGAAAAGTGCTGAAAATAGAGATAGAAGTTACATATTACATTAATAGAAGTACAGTCAGATATCAGTTAGATATATTCTATATCACCGACTGTACACGGATACAAACAGTTAAAGCTTTCAATCTTTAAACAAAGAGGTAGAAACATGTTCATCATGTTGCTTTTGATTTACATTGTAACTGTAATTTTTAAAAACCTCTTGAGTGACATTTCTTTATCTTTGAGTAAAAAAAGAGAGAAAAAGAATTTCTGAAGAAAGTCCAAAACGGGAATAGTAAAAATGTGGCAGGCTTGGTTTGATTAAGCCTGTTCATGGGCAGTACAGGAAAGTGCAAAATGGGACAGGTACTGTCCACGCCCCCTAGCACCAGCTTAAGCAGAATTCATCATTTAAACATGAAAATGATGAAACTTTGAATTTAAAAAACATCCGCAGATATAACCCTCTTGACTGAGATATCTTTACCTTTAAGTAAAACAGAGAGAAAAAGAACCCTAAAGAAGAAAGTCTAAAACAACTTGGTTAGATTTAACCTGTTCATGGGCAGTACTGGATTGTTAAGGTTCTGCCCACACACCCTAGCACCGGCTCAAGTAGAATTCAACATTTAAACATAGTATAATGGTGAGCTTTGAGTTGAGAAACCATGTTTTATACATAAGTACACAGAAAAATATTCTAAGAATATAGTTGAAGATATATTATTATAAATCAGAATATATGTGAGGAAGCACATTCCTCCTGGTTCCTGTCGTAGCTTTTTCTGTTTCAATACTTTAAGAGTCGCAATTAAAATCTATATCAACAGGAAACATTTTGTTTTAGAATCACCTCACTGAAAGCAATTTATGTCATATCGATCGATATATCTAAATTTATATTGAGTGCCAAAACCATCCTTTTCATACTGGTTTTTACAGAATAAAATGATTGTTTAGTTATTCTAAAAGAACATTTATTTGGCACGTGTTTCTATAAAAGCAGTACAAAAGAAGTTCCATTAGATTCTAAATCAAATTTGATTGTCTGTCTGTGATGTATGTTGTTGTACATAATTTAAACGAATGTTGCTTGCATCATTATGACAGATGCAGATTTCATTATAAATCAATTATTTATGTGACTCACCTGCAGTGAGCAATCTGCTGTTATTGCAACAACTCAATATTTACAAGGTCGTACTGACGGAGTCAATTAATTAATTATTAACGAATTTCACTAAATATAATATAATTATTATAATTATTATTATTATTATACAAAATATTGTTGTAAATTTGGATAGAAATTTAACATTTGAGCCGTGTCACGACAAAACCAACATAATGGGTTTGCGACCAGCATGATGGGTTTGCGACCAGCATGGATCGAGACCAGCCTGCACATCCGCGCAGTCTGATCAGGATCCATGCTGTTCGCTTACCAACTCTGTTACAAGAAGAGAAACTGATAGCGAACAGCATGGATCCTGATCAGACTGCGCGGATGCGCAGGCTGGTCTGGATCCATGCTGGTCGCAAACCCATTATGTTGGTTTTGTCGTGACGCGGCTCATTTAACTTTATTAGAATAATTATATCAATCGAATTTACAGAGATCTAGTTATTGACACTCCATTTTGCAACTATTCAGTAGGCGCATGTCTTTTTAAGCCGGTGCAAGGGAGCGTAAGAGATGTTGCACTTCTATATTATATCTCATGAACAAATACTGCAATTTTCATATACTTCTGTTGTTTTGATTGCATCCGATGAATTTCTTCTTTTCTATATTTTCACTTGAAAAATAATCACATTTTGGAGATGCTCAATGTAATTAGATGTGATATTTGTTTAAAAATTGTGGAAAAAACCCTGTAAATATTAAATTGGTTGTAACATATAAAAATACAGAAACGTATTTCAATATTTCTCAGTAAAAAAATAAGCAGACATTTTCCAAAATTTCATTTAAATTTGAATTCAATGCCTGTTTTTTCAGAGTGCATTTAGGAGTGTTTAAACAGGGTAAAACTGAAAAATTAAAATGTTCAAGGAAACTTATACACATTTTCTGTCTATCAATGCACTCGGAAGAATCTCAACATTTCCTCCCTAACGTAACATGTGAAGTTTGAATTAACAAACTAGACGTAGCAGCAGGTGATATGTGGCTGAAATCAATTCTAATTACCATCAAAATAATGAAGTGCTAAACTACAAAATCCAATTATCGTTTGTTAACACATCCTTAGACATGATCACAAATTCTTAAACTAGTTTTTTGTTTCATCTTAGGATAGCTTAACTAACCTTTAAAACCATCTTTTCATTCCCAAAAAGTACACGACTTGGTGTTTTCTTGCCATGTTTTTTCTTATGATTGACCTTTTCATTATCGTGTCAGATTTGAAACGATACATTGGGGATTATAATTTAATTGTTTTTTAGAATTCTAATGAATTGATAACTATGTATGGAAAGTTTTTGCCTTTTTGTTGCATTATAGACGCTAGTTTTGTCATCTTCAATAAGTAATACAATTTTAGAAATTGTAGACGGAAAGCTTCTCATATAATTATATAGAATCGCACATGATATTTCATGTAATTTAAACGCATAATTTAGTAGTTTAATAAATTGTTATAAATCGAGACACCGGCAACCTTTATAATTGATATATGTAGCTGATAAGTTAAATTAAATTTTAAATTTTAATTACCTAATGTAATACCACATGACTATTGTAAGATATCCTTTTAATCAAATGACTTCTATAACTGAATAACACGAGCTTTTGTACGCGGTTTTTCTAATGACATATAATGGCGAAATTAATTAACGTCAGCACACATGGGTAATAAAATGGAATATGTAATGTTTTTATAAAATAGAAAACAGACGGTTTCTTGCGACGAATGAACCTTTATATTCATTTCTATTTCTGATCAAAAGCAATCGACACAATTTCAAAATGTAAAACCCACGAAATACTACATAAATTATACATTGAATAGTCGGTAATTATTATAGCATGTATGAATCATACACTTTGTACGAAATAAACAAAGGACGAAACAAACATTAGAAACACACCATGGACGAAACACGCCATGGTCGAAACAAACTAAGGACGATAATTCTGGCACGGACAAATACATTTCATTTTACATTCCAGTATGCTTTCATTTACTGGTATTTGAAATTTAAAGTCGCTTTTGTGTTCAATTCAATTTCATTAAAATACAACAAACTATCATGAAGTTCCAATGATTATCTGTTATAAACGTTTCTCTTGATATTTTCCTAAACGAATTTCCGTAACAAGACTTTCATCAAATATCATATTCTCTTATTATTCTTTAACAAAAACATAATCTTCGCAACCTCTCATGGGATGCCAAACATCAAGTTACAGAGGCGGCTTTATATAATATATTTTCTTTTAGATAACAAATGATTACACACTGCGTGACTGGAGAACTTCAAACCTTTCCGAATTGTTTTAACAAAACTGACTTCTATTCCGAAAAAGTATGATTCATTCGGTCTCTAATCTAATATGGCATTTTCACAAAATTTACTCGACAAATTGCAGATGGACTGTTTTCGATTTGTGTGGAAATTAAAGATACCTTGTCACCCAAGAGACTTCTTGTTTGGTTCTTTGGAATAATATTTGAAAGAAATGAGACACTGTTAAGCCATTAAAATTTGAATATGACTAAGAGTGCAGGAGAGAGAAACAACAACATATGTTTTCAAATTGCAATTAAATGAACTACAAAAATTCAAGATGAAAACAATGAACGTTGTCATTTACGCAATTTGACAATATATATGACTCAGCAGAAGCAACAATTTTGACATAAACATTTACCTTATGTAATAAGACAGCTCCACGCAGTAGTAATTACTTATATATAATAGGAGTAGATTTTTATGGCTACAGTTTCTTGCTATAAGAAAGGAAGCGGTAATCATAAACAAAACATAATATTGTTACTATAAAGTAATATCATAACTCTGTACTTGCTTAATTAATAAATTATTGTATAAGTTTGAGACTTAGTAACCAAGTGTGTATTTCCAATAATTATGATTAACATACTCACTTGGCTTTACCAGGTCATGATTAAATGTTGAATTCTGCTGAAGCCGGTGCTAGGGGCATGGACGGTAGCTTGCAATTACCACTACCGTCCATGGACAGGCTTAATCAAACAAAGCCTGAAACATTAATATAAAATGCAGGAGTTGTTTCGTAATCAAGCTTTGATTTTATAAATAGGTTTAAATAAATCTGAACTATATTAATCTTTAGGTGTGCTATGAAAGAAATTCCGTCGTTGAATGTTGAATTCTTGGCACATTAGCAAATAAAATCAGACAAAAGATTCTGCTGTTATATTTACATATACTTAAGTTGTTTCCTCGATAATGACTTAGAAATTAATATTTCTATTGTTTATACACATATCTCTTGTATTAAGCACATGTTCTTGCAAGCGAACTGATACTGTTTGCTCAACAATAGCCGTTACTTGTACAGTTAACAATGTATGATTTAGCAGTTTTGTTCGAATCAATGTTCTCTTTCTCTAACGTTAATACAAAGATATCACAGTACGCAATTTGTCTTGTAACTAAATGTTTTGCAACATATAAACCCGACATAATGACAGACATTATTATTTATGACTGTCTTTCTGATACATGCTTAAAACTGACGACATCTTATCTATATTGAATGATATTATAGATATTACAAGGATTTTCACCGGTCAGTTGAAAATTGCAAACTAAAATCCGGGAATCTCATAGACTATTCTATATTAATAGTATAATAATCTAAAGGATCTTTCTGAAATGTATACACGTCTAAATTACAAAATGTATAAATTAATCTAAAGGAGTATCGGCATTTTATGACATTTTAAAAGGAAGAGACGAATATACGTCCACGATTCAGGAAAAAAGCATGTGCATACCGAAATACACCGTGCAAGTAAAAGCAGTTTTACCTCGTTTGAGCAATTTTTTTTATTTTTCTAAGATACTTCTTGTTTAAGAGTGAAATTGCTTAACATTTAAAAAAATATAAGTCTGACTTCATATAAATTTCATAAAAGCATAATATATGACTGGAAATGAAAAGAAAACTTTTTACTTAAAACTCGAGAATCGATAAATCGCGGTCCAATAATGTATCTCATTCCAAAAAAGCGACTAAATATTGTTCACTTTACATATTTATAAACATTGTGATGACATGTTGTGTTTCATAACTTTGGCAATAAACTTTGAATAAGGACAAACCCATCGAGGGTATAGAAACCATAACACAAAGCTGACAGTTGCTGACTAGGGTTTTTATTACGCATGTTTATTTAGGATAATAAAAAGTGCAACATTTGCCAAGACGTCTCTTGTGCTTTGTATGGCAATGGATTATAGCTATGAAATAGTTTGATATTATAATAGTAAAAACTCTAAATGAATATACGTAAAGCAAATTGGTAGCTTTCAAAGATCATCATATCTGATGACAATAAATGTATTAAGATTATTTACTTTCTTTTTGTTTATTTATACTTTTATCTACTTTATTTGAAAACTTTAAATAGTTAAAAATACCTATTTTCAGAAATTAAAATCGTTTTGCTGCAATGTAAGTATATCAAAAGTATATTAAATGTTTTATATAAAATTGATGTTATTATTAAAATACAAACGACTTTAATTCTTTAAAATAACAACCCTATCCTTGACATATCAACGTTACCAATGTTGTAAATGAGTGAATGGATATTTAATGGAAGTTTGATTAATCTTTGAACACATAAATATATTATTATTTCAAGAGGAAGGGCAGGTACGTTTTTCTTTAAATATTGTAATAAAATCGTTGTTTAATTTATCAGACATTTTAGTCCGTTCTACCTGATTAAAAGTTATATTTTACTTTTTGTAGAAACGATTGTTGATGCTTAAAGATTTTCATAATTTCCTATAAAGGACTCGTTTAAACAAGGTATAATTAAATGATAAAATTCAGTCATCGTGTCAACTTTATGACACATATCCTATTGTAATAAACAGTGGTTATTGGAAGAAATGTTATTTAGACACAACTGCACATAACATCTCAAACAAAATCAGGTGTTATTTTTAGTAAAAAGAGAAATATTTTATACATGTCTTTAGTGAAATCAGAGCTTATTAAAACTTTCCGTGCAAAAGAACACTCTATGAGACTATAGACATTTTCTTTATTATTTCATAGACAATGAACTTTTCTATTTCATTTTTATGAAATCATATACTAATGAACTATTCAAATTGTATCATCTGTTCCATCAAGTTATGACAGTAATAGTATTGAATTCATCTTCACTGCAGGAATCACAGTATGGCCAACTTCTAACAATGATAAATTTTCCAGACAGAAATTCTCTTTATTGGCTACAGGAATTTTGAATAGTCAACTCATGTTTCAAAACTGATCAAAGTTTAAGAACTGAGTAAACTGTTATATTTTAAATGTTGGCATTTTTATCAAATAATGCGATAATAAATGTTTGTTTGTTTGTTTGTTTTGGGTTTTACGTCACTTTGACACAGTATAGGTCATATCGCGACGTTCCAGCTTTACTGGTGGAGGAAGACCTCAGGTGCCCTTCCGTGCATTATTTCAGGCACGAACGGGCACCCGAGTAGAACCACCGACGTTCCGTAAGCTAGCTGGATAGCTTCCTCACATGAAAGAATCCAAAGTCCCTGTCGGGATTCGAACCCACAGCGGTGAGGGGCAAGTGGTTTGAAGTCAACGACCTTAACTTAACCACTCGGCCACGGACGCCCCGATAATAAATGTAAAGTACGGGAAAACATTTAACAACCCCAAAAAGCCTAAACATATCAAATTTGAAAATGCAATAACATTTGACAAAATTTGCGTTTGTTCTAAGATCAAACTTTTATACTGTGCTAAAACAAATGATATTTGTTTCTTTATAAAACTTTGCTTCTTGTAATGTATCTTTTCAAAACCTTTAAAGTATAATGCTTTACTAATGATATATAAGGATAGAAAATTACAACCACGAGTTGTATGACACATCACTTAACAAATACATTGGTAGTAGACGTAGCGCTAACATATAAGGTGTTTATACCTTTTTTGTAACAACCATAATAAAGAAAGTGAATATCTGAACAAAACGACAAAATTGTTTGTTATCCCAGTTTATCAAAAAAGTCGATTTTTGATTTGTACATTCGTCCCCTATACAGCGATTAGACACCAATGGGCACATTTTCCATCAGTGTTTCAAATATAAATTAAAACGATCGTACAATTGCCAGATATCCTATTTAATGTTTCGACATTTTCCCTATGACTTGATTCGTATGCAGCACTAAATGCAGTTACCGTTTGTTGAAATCTGCTGGTAAATGTATGAGGCGTTGTACATAAGAGGAATTAAACGATCGTAAAATGCATCATCATTAGGATATTCTTGAAAAAATACTGGAAACAAAACATGTTTATGGTGTTCTTTGCTGTTTAGGATGGACATTTATGTGATAATAATAATAATAATGATAATTCGTTGTAGAACAATATGTAATCCGTTATATATTAGGATATAATGGATCATGTAAACATCATTCATATATAATTCTTTCGTAATGTGTTATCAGTCATAATTCAAATACTATAAAAAAATAATATTTTTGATTTCAGAGAACTAACAGCGTACATCCTTGAATTTTTATGCACAACGGTATTTTAAATAAGTAATAAAAACAAGTCTTTTCCTGAAAAAATGCGTAAAGGTAACATTACGTTTGAAGCATAAATTGAGTTGAAGCAAGGTCATAATTATAGCATGTGGTTCCAAAACCCTATAAAATGTTTAGTGGAATTTTAGCAAAACAAGATAATTATGTTTTTTGAATAGCATCCAATTAGCAGTGCTTAACCTGAATGGGTTTATTGTTCGTTTTATGTATGCATCTGCAAATCTGAAAATAATTGCAAACATTAATTAATTCCGATATGTTTATCTCCCAGTTATACAATAATTCCCCCCCCCCAAGACGAATACAAACTTTGTATCTCTTTTATATTTGCAAAACAGTAACAAATTTGCAAACTTATACCAGTTTGCCAAGTCAACTTATAGAAACAAAGATGAGATAAAGACAAATGACCCATTTTCGTCTAGAAATGTAAGAGGCTTAATTAATGTTATTTACAAACTGGCTGGCAGTGTTTTTATCAAGATAAATGCAGATGACCTTATATCAGAAATAAAGCATAACTGGTATTTTTTACTATGTCATTTTCTTATATAATTATAATAGATCTACAACTGCCAGATTAAATACCATATGACTTGATTTGTTTTCAAATTTCTTGTATTAAACGCAGTTATTTGAACGTTTCGTGAAATATGCTGGTAAATTTATGAGGCGTTGCACACAGGTGCAATTATTTCCGCATGCCTGTCCAGCCACAACGAATAAAGTTTTAAAGATTGACTTTTGTTTAAAGATGTATATTATCCATTTGGAAATATGGCGCTTTAACTATTACAGAAATAGCTAAAAAAAACACCATGCATTGCCAAGTCTATAGCTAACTTCACAGCCTTCCCTATTGTTAAAAATAACCTCATGTATTGCAATTATGACTCTTTTTTATACTTTGCTCATATGCTCCTGATCATTTTAAACAAAAATGTGCTTTGTACAGAAAAATAATATTGTTTTGTTTAAAAACCATGCAAGTGTTATTCCTTGGAGATATTTCTTCGTTATCTAATCATAAAATATTTGAAAACGGGCAAATGTTCAAAAAGCTAATTTCAATTTCAATTCATCTGCATAATTGTTTTGTCTCAAGAGTTAATATTTCTAAAGAACAAACTTTTTGATATGATTATTTTAATGCACCATTTTTGTAGAAGGTTATAAAACGTATAGACGAATGTTCGTTACATTTTGAGAAATACTGCCATGAGCTAACTTGCTTGTCTCAACCACCTGGGTATTTATTATAAAGAGGGAAAGCACATAAACCTTGAATAATTTTACGATTATGTAATATTATGAAATACAAAGTTCATCTTGTTTTTTTCGAATATTTTTATATCAACGCCGCATCAATGTCAAATCAATATAATTTACAAAGGCAATGAAAGAACAAAAGTCAAAGCTTAATAAATATGAGTCAAAATAAGATAAAAACATACACCCAGAAACGTTATAATGCTGTATCATGCATTTATGCAAATATATATACTTATTTGCAAAAAAAAAAAAAGACAATAACTCTTGAATGACCATAAATGTGTTAAATGTTAATTGAACTACAGCTAAAACCAGAGAAAGGCCAATCTGAAAACATTTTATGATACGATGATTGTACAATAGTTATAAAACTATACGCCTACGTGGTGAGTTGTTGATGCTGAGATAATAAATATCAACAAAGAGGCTGACATAAATATAAACCCAGTTATATCCAGTGTCCTACTTTCTACAAGAGGCAGATTAATGTATGATACATAATGATAAAGCTGTTATAAGATTTATTATGTTAGTAGCTCTTACATCTAACACCTTTGCTGAACCATAATGAAATAAACGTTTCAGCAAAACAATAAACCGAATCCATTACGAAACAAGAGCAATGTTAGCCATCCCTCGCCGAATGTGTTTGCTGATTGGAAAAATGTATTTGAAGTAGAGCAGAATAGTTCAAGTGAAAGAGGTCTTTTGGTAATGAAAACTGATGGCTGAAGTGATTACAAATTTGAAAACAATGTGAATACTGATGGCTGAAAATAACAAAGGGCAATAACTGCAAAATAATGCTGGGTAGGTTATCATTCTTGCACACTGCACTCCTCCGCAATGAGATCTATCCACCTATGATTTTCAAGTTGATATCTCTAACACTTTTTGAGATAAGCTCCGGACAAAAAGTATGAAAAATAACAAAGGGCAATAACTCAAAAATTATACAGTGTAGAGTTATCATTCTTGCACACAGCATTCCTTCCCAATAAGATCTATCCACCTATGAAGTTTCATGTTGACATCTTAAAGACTTTTGAGTTATGCTCCACTCAGGTGAAAAATTATGTATGAAAAAAAAAGCAAAGGGCAAGAACTCAAAAATTATGCATGGTAGTGTTATCATTCTTGTGTGCTGCACACCTCCTGAGTGAGATCTATGCACCCATGAAGTTTCATGTTAATATCTCAAAGGCTTTTTGAGTTATTCTCTGGACAAAAATTAAGTTTGGAAAATAACAAAGGGCGATAACTGAAAAATTATACAGGGTAGAGTTATCATTTTTGTGCATGC